GTCTTACTGATTTCATCCTGTGTATCTCTAATATTCTCAAACGTGCTTTTCAACACGGAAACGGAACTAGTTAAAAAGAAGCATTTTTTCTACAGATGTGTACCTCACTGTTTTTTCCTTGATTTGTTACTGACCTAATAAATCCCAAGGAACTAACCTGATAAACAACAAAGTGTGTTTTTAACAGCTTGCCTAAGTTCTCTCATCTTCCAGAAATGCATCAATGGATTTAAAGAAGAGTTTAAGAAAATTAGAGTCTTTGTAAATTCCCTAGCAAGATAACCCGATAAAGGTATCCCTCTCTGGGGTGTTACAGCCTGCGCTATAATAAAAGGAAAATAGCAAAAAGCTAAGACCAGCTGTATCCACAGGGCATTAGAAACTGCTTTCCTGTATCGGGCTTTGTTCAGGAGTGTTGTTTGCTGGAGCTGACCTTGAAAAGAGCGATCCTGTACTTGAATACGGTTACAACGTAGAGTGACAAAAATTTTTGTGTAAGAGATACCGGAGACGACGAGACACAGAGGTAAACTTATCTTACCCCACAATACCAATATACGAATGTCCCAAAAGTAAGATGAAGTACTAACAATGGACAAAATCCACAAAATGGCTACGGTCATACGTGTTCTTTTCAAAGTTACAACTTGTCTATACCTAAGCCCTAGCAACAGAGCTAGGAGTCTGTCCATGCTTGTTGTGGTCAGAGTGAGTAAAGATACTGAACACATAACGTAGCTAGTGATAATACTCGATAGAAGGGCGTAATAGCAAATATCCCATCTTTCGTTCAAAACAGACATCAAATAAGAAACATACAGAGGCTCGACAATGATGCCAACACAGAGATCAGTTATCGCCAGGTTTAGATACAGTAGTTTGGACGGTGGATGGAGTGAACGCGTCTTGTATAGCGCAATAAGGACCAGAGAGTTTTCAACAAAAGCAGTCATGGACAAAAAAATATTTGTCGCTAAAAGAAAGGTCACCTCGTCATGTACTTCTACTGTGAATTCTGTTGAGCAATACAGTTCCGCTCTGGTTTTCTTGTTTTTCTCTCCTGTAATGTTTGTAAATTCTGCCATCTCTTTTCAAAACAAATCAGTTACAGTTTGCTAAAACATATATCACCAGTTTTATGACTGTCATGAGGGCCAGGATGTTAGTATTCCACACTTCAGTCAACTGTCAACTAGGTCCGTGGAAGTTTCCTTTTCGCAAGCGATGTCTGTTTTCAATAAGCAACCTGTTTAAAGTGAATAAAACAATCAAGCAGCAAACAAAAGGAAAAGGGGACGAGTTTTTCAGATGTTAGCCTGCGTAGCAAGCGTTTCCAATCGAGTTATTGCGCGAAAGTTTGAGCGGAAGCAAGAAAAAGGTTGAAGGGGGAGGGGGAGGGGACAAGAGGAAACGCTTGCCCGCAAACCCCACGATTCTGGAAAACGCCCCTTGATATTTCACGGTTCGGTTCATTTGTAAATTGACAGCTCGTCAAAATAGTAACATAACGAACAGATTACCCCTGGATTACCAGATTTGTAAAATTACTTTGTTCGCTAATAGAACACGTTCCAGGCGGTTGCAAGAACTGTAATAAAAAAGATTTGCAATAAAAGAAGGTTAAAACTATGAGCGATTGCTGCAGAATTTCTTGTTTTTTTATTGTGTGGCTCTATCTCGGCTGAAACCTTGTCAACACGTCAAAAATGATTTTTCCGGAACAATTCACTCCGCCGGGTATAAGTTTTGCAGAGCGGCTGCTCTTCAGCCTGTGTCGAAACGTTCTCTACAATAGGTACCGCTAAATTTCCAATAAACAAAAAGAATCTTTTCATTTCAAAAAGCTGGCAAATCGCTTGTCCATGGCGGCTTTAGCTAGTGTCGAGTACCGATGTTCCGATTTATGTTGATGTTATCTCCAACAAACAGTCCATTTTTTCCAGTCAGATCTGCACGCCGTCATTCTCAAAAAAATTGGCCTTCCCTAGTTTCCACTGCTCGATCTCCAATTATACTTTGAAGGCGCTGATCTCATAAACCGTCGCACAAACACGATTCCAATAAATATCAGTCCAAAACATTTGTAATCTGTGACCGCAAATCAGATGAGACGAGATCTGTGACACACGAAAACAAAGCATACCTGGTTTGATTGATGTTTCGAATGCTAAGTAATCAACACTACCCGCGCCGCGCCAATCAGAAGCTGCGTTCGTGGGCGAACGCAGTTTTTCAAAATCGTGGGGTTTGCGGGCAAGCGGTTCCTTCGTTCCCCTCCCCCTCCCCCGTAATTATTATTTTTTTGCTCTTGTCCCAGCTTTCTAGAGAAACCTCGCGAGGAAACGCTTGCTACGCAGGCTATTCAGATGTCAGTTCGTACGGTCAAACTGTCCATGTTCAAGGGAGTTAAATAAACTAGGAACGGTTCTGTTGGGAATTTGATATGAACTTAATTAAATAGGTCCGAATAGGAATAAAACTGAAAAACTGACAACTAATGGAATCAAAGAAAGACTATCGTCAACTCGTGGGAACGTTGTTTAGAAAATAATCAAATGGTTATCAATCGGTTTTCCCACAGTAAATTGTAGGAAATGATAGAAATTCAGATTGTTTATCCATATATTAAATATACTATCTTTTCCCTGGAAACACAATAGAGTGTTTTCACTCACGTGGCCAGCATATATGCAAATTTATTGGAACAAAAGAGAGCGTTTGCATAAGAAAAGAGTTCAACTCCCAGAGGATTGGTTTGGGACACCAACATGGCCACCGTTTCATTGTTTTGGGACACCAATATGGCCGCCGTGACGTCATGTGAAAACACTCTATACTTTTCTTGCTGTTTATTGCACTTTATTAAATAAGAGTTATGTATTAAGGTATATATTTAAAGAAAAACAACAAAACAAATAAGCAAAAAAAGACCAAACAAACCAAAACGGGAAAAAAAAAGAAAGAAAAAAAGAAGGAAGAAAGAAAGGAACGAGCAGGACTCGAGCCCGGCACCTTCAACTCGTTGCAACTTTACCTAACCACTACACGACTAAGGCTGATTACGTCACTTTGGCGAGAAGTTTTTTATTTAATGCCTTTTCCACGGAAAATCCACCGGCAAACGCCATTAAAGATGATCGAGCCGCGTAAAACGGCGCCACTGACAGTTAAAAAAACAACAACAACAACAACAACAACAAAAACAGAACGCATTTCATGGCAACATGAATGAAAGAACATACGATGTATGCTTTACAAAGCCGATACACCTCGTTTGCGAAGTACGATGCAAAACATATGTTTTCTCCACGAGTTAAAAACGGATCAAATAGCAATAACTTGTACAAATAAAAGATAGCTTGAGATAGCAATTAGCAGTCAGTCTTGCTGTTATGCCATTTGGCTGTATGGTTATAGCCTTTTGTTTGAATTTAATCCAACTTCAGCGCCTTAAGGACGGACCATCAGATACTCAGCCTCATTCATTAATTGTTAAATATTCGCCGCTGCAACGACTTTCCGTTTCTTCACTTCTGGGCCTCTGAATGAAGGACAACTTTTATACAGTCCGAAATCAGTTCCGAAATATCGCCGGAAACTCGAGTTCGCTTTTGTCTTTGCTGTTCCGTTATTATAGTTTAGCATCTGGGGGTCATCAATGTGTTTCTATTTAAGTTTCTGTATTTAAGAGAGAATAAGCTCATCTCTGTTGGCAGAAGTCAATCTTGGAAACTTGCACGACGGTCATCTGAATCGGACCGATCGATTGCGCAATAAAAAAATATTGTTTTCGAAATGTAACCGCATTAGCAGAGATTCTCCGTGAACAGATCGGAACAGTATTGTTCTAAATAAATATCAAAAAGAAAAATAAAAGGCTTCTTCCGAATAAACGGTTACGTGCTGTGCTTTCCAGTTTCCAGGGCGTACTAAAAGTGCCGGAAATAGGAATTTTGCTAAGCGTGTTTTATTTGTAACGAGAAAACAAATCTTTTACTAATTAATGCCGAAAAATATAACTGGCGGAGGGTCTCCTACAAGAAAATCTCCTATTAAAAAACACTCTAAGACAACCCCTTAATTTTCCAGTTATTGCACAAGTGATTTCATAATACCTTGGTGTCTAACTCACAGAATCACGGGCGTGCCACCTAGTGTTTCTATTGCATGATAAAACTCTCCCCGCCGCGTGTCGCCTTTTCTTGTGTGGGGTGATTTTCACGCGCGCTCGCGTTTCGCTCGCTCTACTATCCCTGAGGAAAAATGGGGGACTACTCGTAGTCTAAGAACACCATGGAATTACAATAAAACTCGCTTACTCAAGCTAAAACATATCAGACATATTAACCCTTAATTTTCTTCTGTGCGCAAGCGATTTAATAATACCGTGGTGTCTAACTCACAGAATCACGGGCGTGCCGCCCAGTGTTTCTGTTGCTTTAAAAATTGCACTTGGCAGTTTAGAACACCATGGCATTAAAATAAAACTCACCGCACTTAATAGTAAAGTCATTGTCTTTTTTTAAAAATAGTCACCCTTGAAATATGTTAAGGTGCTTCTTAGTGATTTCTCTTCAGGCTTTTCTCCGGCGTTCTTATTTTCTATACAGTCCTCTCGCAAGAATCTTGCGAATACTAAATGGCAAAAGTGAAACTCACCTTTTTCCCCGCAAGTAGTTATTGATCAAACAATGATTTCTATTCCCATACCTAATTTTCTAAAATTCTGCAATTCATAGCTTTTTCGTGACTGGATAAAGAGTTACATAGCGGCAGCGGTGAGATGCACGTCATCTCGCTAATTCATATGACATTTTTATTCCGACAGGAGCAATTAACACAATCAAAACGTGCTTTTGTCTCCAAAAGATAACCGGAACCTCCGTAAATACATCATCGATTTTATTTTAAAAATTACAAATGTCTTTTTAAACAGAGCAACTTCAGAACACTCGGGCACTTTACTTAAATTTATTTACATTGTGTGGGCCGCGCCGAAACGTTTCTTTGTAACTACCACGTAAAACAATCAAACCAAACCCAAACCAAAGTCTCCAGGTGATTAAAAGCAAAAGGACGCGCGCGAGGAGAACGTGAGACCACAAAAATATTATTTTTGAAATGTAACCGCATTAGCAGAGATTCTCCGTGAACGGATCGCAACAGTTTTGTTCTAAATAAATATCAAAAAGAAAAATAAAAGGGTTCTTCCGAATAAACGGTTACGTGCTGTGCTTTCCAGTTTCCAGGGCGTACTAAAAGTGCCGGAAATAGGAATTTTGCTAAGCGTGTTTTATTTGTAACGAGAAAACAAATCTTTTACTAATTAATGCCGTAAAATATAACTGGCGGAGGGTCTCCTACAAGAAAATCTCCTATTAAAAAACACTCTAAGACAACCCCATAATTTTCCAGTTATTGCGCAAGTGATTTCATAATACCTTGGTGTCTAACTCACAGAATCACGGGCGTGCCACCTAGTGTTTCTATTGCATGATTAAACTCGCACTTAGGAGTTTAGAACATCATGGCATTACAATAAAACTCGCTTACTCAAGCTAAATCATGTTAACCTTTAAGTTTCCACTTGGTACGCAAGTGATTTCATAATGCCCTGGTGTCTAAACTCACAGAATCATGGGCGCGCCACCTAGTTTTTCTGTTTCTTTAAATCGCACTTAGAGGTTTAGAACATCACGGAATTACAATAAAACTCGCTTACTCAAGCTAAAACATATCAGACATATATAACCCTTAGTTTCTTCTGTGCGCAAGTGATTTAATAATACCGTGGTGTCTAACTCACAGAATCACGGGCGTGCCGCCTAGTGTTTCTGTTGCTTTAAAAATCGCACGTGGGAGTTTAGAACGCCATGGCATTAAAATAAAACTCGCCGCACTTAATAGTACAGTCATTGTCTTTTTTTAAAACAATAGTCACCCTTGAAATATGTTAAGGTGCTTCTTATTGGTTTCTCTTCAGGCTTTTCACCGGGGTTCCATTCCTTGTTCTTAATTTCTATACAGTCCTCTCGCAAGAATCTTGCGAATACCGAAGGAATACTAATGGCAAAAGTGAAAGTCACCTTTTTCCCTGCAAGCAGTTATTGATCAAAAGACTCCCTTAACAATGATTTCCAGTCCCATACCTAATTTTCTAAAATCCTGCAATACATTGCTTTTTCGTGACTGGATGAAGAGTTAAATAGCGGCAGCGACGAGATTTAATAATTTTTGGCGGGCTTTTGACACGTTTTGGCGGGATGGCGATTTCACTATTCGAACGAATCCATTTGATCGCTTGGCCTCTGTGTTTTCTGCCTCTACTATGACATCTTCATCTACTAACAATAGTATTTCCGGAACCCATCCTCATTAAATAGCGGAAATTTTTTATGTAGCCCGTTTGGTTTGCACACGCTTTACATCATTAACAGCAGATCATGCATAATATGTAGTCACCAAACAAATAAAGTCGTATTAGAAGATCTAACGTTTTCAACATCAAAATGCCTACCATACTGCCGATGAATATTACCACTTACACGTTTATCGTAATATCGTTAGGCTCAGAAACATTTTGAAGGCATAGGAAGACCGTATTCTTCTCGTAACAGGGGCGTACCCAGGATTTTTCAAAGGGGGGGGGGTCACCATCCGGGGATCTCCGACTATACATGGTTTATACAGCTGCTCTCCCTCGTGTATAAGCGGGCTCAGTCGTATTATCGCGGCATGAAGGCCCATATTAACTAAAGACAAGAGCCGTTGACGAAAATACTTTACAAAAAAACAAATTTTAAAAAAGTGGGCTTTTCAACAATGGCTTTTACTGCCAAGATATTATCATGGCGTTTTCGCCACCTGAATATTGTAGGTTGTTTGCTCAAAAGAAGGCCTACCAAGGGGGGGTCACGGGCACCCCAGGACCCCCCCCCTAGCTACGCCCCTGCGTCACGTTATCTAAATCTACAGACGCACACACACCGTCCTTAGGAAGAGAGGAAATATATCTCGGTACATTATGATTATCATATATGAAGTACCTACCCGTGAGTGGCCGCTCATGTCATCATTTAGGAGGAGCGCTGGCTCATTTGCCGAACAGCGGCTGGTAATCAAACTTATCATGAGCCTGTTTTATTAGAAATTTGCAAGAGACTGTCATGATAAAGTATGACAGCTATTTAATTACTATGTACCATTGGTGACTGCAAAGTAGGGTATATGGCTGTGTAGCATTGTTCTTAACGATAATGACTAACATTCATTTAAAAAGGAAATAAATCATTTTTTTCAAATTATAGACGAACCGTTTTGTAATTGAGCTTTTTCATCAGTCGGTCGCAATTTTCGTTTCTACGTTGAACAGAATGACTTAACGTCAGACTGTATGGCCGCCCCTGAGTAAAAAAGCAGGTGCTCCCAAAACGTATCGTCAGTTAGTTGAACACTGAACCTTCGGCATAACAAATGAAGCTCGCAGGCAAGTGTAAAACATAGGTCGGGGAGTTGTATTTCTGAAAATCGTCATAGAGCTGATAGAGGACAATTGCACCTCAAATTTTAGGCTTGCATCGCACTTGTGTTGAACATTCGTTGAGTGCTTCAAATCTAATGTATAGAAGACAGAGCGTAGAAGAATTACTTGCCGATGATTTTTATGGTATTAGAACCCCAAATAATAAAAATCACATGAGGCTTTCAGTTTACTATTTGGCTGGAATAGGTTTACCAAGTTTAACCGTCTTTCGACTAAGCTGTATTCAAACGCGCTTCAGTTTAACAGGGAAAAGGAACTTGTAAAAGGCAGCATTTTGTCTAGATGCGTGTCTTACTGATTCTATCCGGCTCTGTATCTCTAATACTCCCAAACGTGCTTTTTAACACGTAAAAGGAACTTGTAAAAAATAAGCATTTTTTTCTACAGATTTTTGTCTCACTGATTTCTTTGACTTAATTGTTACCGACCTAATAAATCCCAAGGAACTAACTTGATAAGCAACAAAGTGTGTTTTTAACAGCTTGCCTAAGTTCTCTCATCTTCCAGAAATAAAGTAGTGGATTTAAAGAAGAGTTTAAGAAAACCAGAGTCTTTGTAAATTCCCTAGCAAGATAACCCGATAAAGGTATCCCTCTTTGGGGTGTTACAGCTTCCGCTATACCATAAGGAAAATAGCAAAAAGCTAATACCAGCTGTATCCACAGGGCATTAGAAACTGCTTTCCTGTATCGGGCTTTGTTCAGGAGTGTTTTTTGCTGGGGCTGACCTCGAAAAGAGTTATCCTGTACTTGAATATGGTTACGACGTAGAGTGACAAAAATTTTTGTGTAAGAGATACCGGAGACGACGAGGCACAGAGGTACACTTATCTTACCCCACAATACCAGTATACGAACGTCCCAAAAATAAGATGAAGTACCAACAATGGACAAAATCCACAAAATGGCTACGGTAATACGTGTTCTTTTCAAAGTTACAACTTGTCTATACCTAAGCCCTAGCAACAGAGCAAGGAGTCTGTCCATACTTGTTGTGGTCAGTGTGAGCAACGATACCGAACACATAACGTAGCTAGTGATAATACTCGACAGAAGGGCGTAATAGCAAATATCCCATCTTTCGTTCAAAACAGACATCAAATAAGAAACATACAGAGGTTCGACAATGATGCCAACACTGAGATCAGTCATCGCCAGGTTTAGATAAAGTAGTTTGGACGGCGGGTGAAGTGAACACGTCTTGTGTAGCGCAACAAGGACCAGAGAGTTTTCAACAAAAGTAGTCATGGACAGAAAAATATTTATCGCTGAAAGAAAGGTCACCTCGTTATGTACTTCTGCAGTGAATTCTGTTGAGCAGTACAGTTCCGCTATGGTTTTCTTGTCTTTCTCTAGTGTAATGTTTGTAAATTCTGCCATCTCTCTTCAAAACAAATCAGTTAGAGTTTGCTAAAACACATATCACCAGTTTTTATGACCGTCATGAGGGCCAGGATGTTAGTATTCCACACTGTCAGTCAAACTGTCAACTGGGTCAGCGGAAATTTCCTTTTCGCAAGCGATTTCTGTTTTCAATTAGCAACCTGTTTAAAATAAATAAAACAAACAAGCAGCCAACAAAGGAAAAAGCGACGAGTTTATCAGATGACATTTCGGACGGTCAAACTGTCCATCTTCAAGGGTTAAATAAACTAGGCAAGTTGATATGAATTTAATCAAATAGGCCCGAATAGGAATAAAACTGAAAAAATGGGAACTAATGGAAAAACGGATCAAATAGCAATAACTTACACAAATAAATAGAGGATATTGCATGGCCGCGCGGAGATACGAAATTTCTCTTCGAGTGTTTTTTCAACACGAGAAGAGAAATTTCGTATCTCCAAGCGGCCATGTAATGTTCTATTTATTATATAAACACCAATGAAATACCAAACCATTTTACTTTAATAGTTTTTTGGTGTGAAAGGCGCGATTTATTATGTAGCCATAGCAACGGTGATATTTTCACATGTGAAGATAACATGTTATTTTCACATGTGAAGATATCAAGTTTTCGCGCGAAAGCTCACCTGGTATTTCATTGGTGTTTATATAATAAAAGATAGTAATTAGCAGTACCGTGTTTATTCGAATAAGCGCCTAACGTCGAATTGCTATCGTTCTGAATTTTAATATATCGAAAGTTGCCTATTGGTTTTTGGCTTTTGTATGAATTTAATCCAACTGCACGTACAGCGTTTATGTTAAATACTCGCTGCAACGACTTTCCGTTTCCTCACTTCTGGGCCCCCGAATGAAGGACAGCTAGCATACAGTCGGGGAAATTAACTCAAGTCTTTTTTGTCTTTTCCGGTTCCGTTATCATTAGTTTATTTGTCTTTATTAAAACAGCAGCATCTGGGGGTCATCAATACTTTAAAAAACCGAGCTCTGTTTTTCTATTTACGTCGCTGTATTTATGAGAGAATTAGCTCATTCTTTCTTGGCAGAAGTCAATCTTAAATACTACAACGAAGAAATTGATTTTAAATAAGCCTGGTTTTGACGACTTTATCCAGGCTGCAATCGAACTGATTTTTCTCGCTTTCTTCTCCAGTCACACACACAACTGTTTAAACTTCGTATCTACTTTCTACGCTCGCAACTATTTGCTAAGCCGATTTACTAAAGTTGTCAAAAATTTAATGAAGAACATATTCCTCTGCCAATATTTTTCCTCTAGGAAACCGTAAAATGCGCGAAAAGTGATAAGAATAAGGTTTTACCTTGCCTAGTCCCTAGACCTCATTATTGCGCACGGCTGATGCGTTTCGGGTCACGTGGTCCGAGCGAATCTCCCTGCCGTTCGTCTCGGATACGTCATCGAAATGCATTGACCGAGAAGGCCTGGGAAGACGCCGTACAGGGACTTTTTCGTGCCACTGTTGAATTGGCTTTAGTGTATGGTGCCTTTGCCTGGTCATTAACTAAATCTCTCGATCAGAGCTCGATGGAACCTATAACCGGAAGCTGATCGAGCTATACTTAACATCTCCTGGAGACAACATCCAACCAAACTGCAGCTTCATGGACCCATCCCTGACAATTCTACAATCTTACGTGAACGAAGAATGCACTTTGCAGGTCACTGCCGGCGAGCAAAACAAGAACTCGCAATCGATCTACCGCTCTGGTCACCTAACCATGGTAAAAGGCGGGTTGGTCGCCCTGCAATCACCTACATCGACCAACTCTGTAGAGACGCGGGATTCCTTCCAAACGACCTCCCTGCTTTGTTGCAGGACCGTGATGGACGGAGTGATAGACTCATGAGTGCCTCAGGTAGCTCGACCTGATGATGAAAACAAAGATGTAGGAATCTTCTCTTTCTTTTTTTTTTTTAACATGGATATAGCCTGCGTTGCAGCCGGTCCACGCACCGTGAGTCTAAACCATCGTCTGCGACGCAAGCATGCAACATGGATACAGTTCGCTTGATAATCCGTTCAAGGAAAAGTCGCCCACATTTGACAAATTGAGCGAGGCAAATTATACGCGACAAAATTTGAAAGGACTAGAAGCAAATTCGTTTTATTTTTGTTACGTTTTCACTGCCGTCGTCTTTGTCGGTTGACCAGGCCTGTCTTATACTGATCACCGTGCAAGATACAAGTCCTATGTACTGAACATTATGCAAGATACAAGCCTTACTGATGCTCATGCAAGAGCGATGCACTGTTCATTTACAGGTCT